ATTATTGTTATTATATTATTATTATTATTATTAATCTATCTATGTGGATTATTATTAATAATAATAATCTATCCATGTGTATTATTCTTATTCTTATTAACTTCAAAATGGAATTGCAAAAAAATAAAATAAAAATAATAATAATAATTTGTAATCTATCTGTGTATTATTATTATTATTATTATTATTAATCTATCCATGTGTATTATTATTATTTTTATTAACTTAAAAATGGAATTGCAATAATAAGAAGAATAAGAATATGATAAGAATAAGAATTTGTTATCTATCTATGTGTATTCTTATTCTTATTAACTTAAAAGATGGAATTGCAAAAAACACAAAACGAAACAATAATAACATTTTTAAATACTTTTGGGGGAATAAACTTTTTTTTTTTTTATTAGTTGCCTCTCCATATTAAGAGATAGGAAAAGTATTCAAAATAATAATAATAATAATAATCTTTAAAAAAAAGTTATTTACGAATTACCCTCAATCATAGCTCTCAATTAACATTTGTGCCTAAACATATTCAAACTTTCCAAACTTACCAAATTTTGACACCATTGATTCTCATGCTTCTCATAACTAATCTTGTCAACCAACCACGTTCGGTGTACTGTGGTCTGCTTGTAAATTAAGCCTGTTTTGTTTTCACATGCTGTATATTTGCAAGTAAATGGAGTAGCTTTGTTACCATAGATGGAAAGGCTTTGAAGACGTGCAGCGAGGGATGATGGGAAACCAAATACGGACTTTCAGATATGTTGCATGATCACTGGGGTGTTGTTATGAAACTATTATGTTTTGAGTGTTTGGGCGCATACATTTATATAATGCTGCCGATTTCTCCTTGGAAGGGCTTTTATGTCTTAAATATCTGTTGTCTGAGGACTAGAGGGATTGTTTTAAATTGTGCGTCTGATCAAAAGCAGTGCCGTATGTGATCTTCAAAGCTTCAGTCCCACCTTCTCTATCTCCATTGCTCCTTTCCCAGAGAACCTTGCCTCCTGTGACAAGACGCACAAGGATTGTTTTACTTGATCTTATATGGTATTACCGCAGTAAATTGGGACATATGCTTCTGTAGGTGGACCTGAGATGGAGAGATAGATTGAAGGAGGTTTAAAAGCTCCTACGGTGTTTGGGGAGCAAGAGAGGATCATTTTAACACAGCACTTCCATGTCACACTCCTTATTTGCAGTGCTTCCATGACAATTCCTTCTAAATGCCCTGCTGGTTTAGCCAGCAGTGATGGTGCTGCCTATCTCTCCTCCATCCACCAGACACCCACATGTTCCACATTATTCGAGTGCCACTTGCATTCCCTGTCCGCCCCCGGATGATGAAAACACACGTTCTTTCTCTCACCGCCCACATTCTTGGTGCCATAGCATTTACAAAGTATAGGTCCAATCAAACCCAAAACTTTTTGCTACCGCAGTTCATTTACATATAGAGGCCCTTTCTCATTTCATGCCTGTTTGAGTCTTTGTTCATGCGAGTTGTCTTAGAAAACTTCAGTGAGTATCAACGTCAAGAGATCGAATGTTAGGAATTTCTATGCAGTCTGTTTTTTTCTTTTCACTCTGATAGAGAAGTCAGTTTTCGACTCGTCTCTCAGTTTGTTAAATCTGCACTCACAATAGAAGTCAATGGTGCATTGCAACAGGAAAAATGTTCAAATACAATACACACTATTGTGAAAGTATAACAAGACCTACATTATACATCTCATCATCTCAGTATGAGACAAGTGTAGTTGCATCATGCTAGTCACAAATTTAATGTTTGAGTTTATGCTTATTAACCTTGTCTGTGCAAAGTGTATTTAGCCTAAATTTTCAACTCTTGTCATGACCATAAAGTTATTTAAAGAAATCGAAATTGCTGACAATTTTCTCACCCTCATCCCATCCAAGATGTAGATTAGTTTGTTTTTCGTTAGAACAGATTTGGAGAAATTGAGCATTACATCACTTGCTCACCAAAGGATCCTCTGATGTGAATGGGTGCCGTCAGAATGAGAGTCCAAACAGATGATAAAAACATCACAATAATCCACACAACTCCAGTCCATCAGTTAATAAAAATCTGCATGTTTGTTAGAAACAAATCCATCATTAAGATGTTTTTAACTTCAAACTGTTGCTTTTGGCTAAAATAAAAGTCTTCTGCTTTCTCCAGTAAAAAAGACATCTTGTCAGAATCAGGAGAGAAATATGCACAGTTTAAAGCAAAAACAGTTCTAAAAAAATATTTATCAGCTGTTTGGACTCATTCTGATGGCACCCATTCACTGCAGAGGATCCGTTGATGAGCAAGCGATGTAATGCTAAATTTCTGATGAAGAAACAAACTCACCTACATCTTGCATGCCCTGAGAGCGAGTCCATTTTCAGCTAATTAAAATTTTTAGCCGAACTATTCCTTTAACCTATTACTTTCACATAAAATGCAGAAAGATACCAGAAAGGGACTGTTTACATATCATCTACATAGAATAGTCATTTAAAATGAGATTTTGGACAACTTTGCAGCTCAAAAGCATTTTAGAAATGCCTTGCGGCAAAGACTTTTCCTCAAGTGTGCTTTTACTATACACTTTTTGTTTGTTTATACAATCTGAAGGATCTACTGAAGTTATTTTCTTTGATAAGTGACAGCATGCCACAAATTTTTATTTTGAACCCAGAACATTCCTTCGTTCTTGTTTATATGTTGTGGAGGTTTACATGCATTGACGTCTGAACTCCAAATGACACAAACAAGGCATACTGCAGTTTTCCTTCCTCCAAATCCTCCTCTCCTCCTTCCTGCGGGTTTCCTCCCTCTGTCGCTTGCTGACCCCATCTCAGATGTGAGGAGTGGCTCTTTAGAACGTTCCAGAAGAGCTGACGGCAGGAATCTCAAGAGCAGTTCAAGTGAGATCACGCTCGGTTAGCAAGAAAAGTTACATGCAGAGAGAGATAGTGTGTACGCGCCGCGCGGGTAAGTGAGGGCCCACACACACAGAAAAAAACTTTCTCATGAGCAAGAGCTCAAGGAGTCCACAGAGAGCTCCAACTTTGAGAGTTTGAGAGATCCAACTCACTTTTCTTTCTTCCTATTTTTCTGCTGTGTGTGTGAGTTTTGTGTGCTTTTTCTCAAAACATTAAATCCGAACATGACCCATTTTACTTCTCTAATTCATCATTGTTCTAAAGGAAAAAAGGCTGTTCTTCATAATCTTTCATCAAAAGTTTCTCCACATCTGAAATTACTTTTCTGATGATGTAACCCAGATTGCATAGATGGGGGGAAAATATTATTACCCCACTAGATTTTGACAAAAACTCACTGGCATTATGCTGGAGTGTTGCCAGGACATTTCTATGTGGTTGTTAAGGTGATCTGAGTGGTTTGTAATGTTGCTGTGTGGCTACTAGGTGGTTTCTGACTGTTCCATGTCAACTCAAGCATCACTTTTGCATTCATGTGCTTAAAGGTGCAGTATGTAATATTGACAGCTAGGGGTTGAAATGGGTACTGCTGTCTAAATTCTAAATATTGGAGAGAGTTGTTTTTTCTGCCCCTCCTCCTCAGACACGAAGCTCACACGGGTTGCCAGGTTGAGGACACTTAACAGGAAAGTGCGCAATTGAGAATGGAAGGTGACGAGTCCTACTCTGTAAGTTGATGAGTTGATTTATCTGCATTTTAATATGTCTCTGGTCATAGATATTTTTAGATGGATGCCGAGGCTTTTTTTTGGTTGGGTGGAATCTGCGATCTGTGATCCAGTTTGTTTGCTGGCTTGAAATGGCTGCAGTACGCTGTATTTTCCACCAACTGGCAACCCAGGTATTTGGTAAATTGGCAGTGGGCGGAATCACACGGTCCAAATCAAAAACAGACATTCCAACACGGAACACACATTTCAAAGTAGAATAGCTGGCTGTAGCATTGTATTTCAAAGAAACAAGTACATGAACTTATAATGTTTCCTAAATGTGCTTTAGTGCAGTCAAAAAAAGTACATACAGCACCTTTAATGCATTGCAATTACCATTACACCAAGTAAAAGTATTATAATTGTTCACCATTGTTCTAATGTATAGCGTTTAATGTTCACTGAAAGATTGGTTTGGTGTTTTTTTTACATTATATAACTCCGATGACGAGGTTGTGCATGTAGTTTTTATGCATGTTAAATGCAAAAAGATACCAGTATGAAATATTGGGGCTTGGGCAGGGGGTTGTAACTTGTAACCATGACAACAAGGCAAGAGCGCGTGAACTCCTGCAAACTTGAACGTCATGC